ATTGAATGATTAAATATTCCATTTAATATTAATTACAAATTTCAACCTTAATTTTTAATTACTTGCTCATTGAATCCTTGGTCCAATACACAAAAAATCAAAATCATATAGTGTGTTAATATTATAAATACAATGGTTGATTTCTCAGAAGCGGGCAGTAGATAGGGGGGCAGGGGACTCTGACCCCACCCGAAAAAGAAAAAGGAAAACAATTCACAGAAAGAAATACAGATGTTCTCGTCGTGGTCGTAGATACATCTATCGTCCTCGTCGTATATAAAAAGTACATAATAGAGTATGAAATAACATATGATATTCCGTACATACATATATTCTGCACATTAAAGACGGACTCCTCCGGTATATAAACAAAAAAGACGAAGTGGGGCCCATGGTGAGAAGGATGCCGAAAAGCAGGGTTGGATTATTGCCGGAAGGCTCCTTGTTGACATTGAGGCCCAGTTATTTATTGTGACAGCCAGCAGTAATAAGTATCGAAGCAGCAGGATAGATACACAGAGAGACAGGAAGAAGATGAAGATGATGAAGCGTAAGAATATCGGCAATCACTCGGCAAACTTCCGACGCCCCGTTGACTTGCCCCTCCCATCCGAGACACTTCCGCCGAAGCGTAGCTCTCCTTTCCTACACATGACGGCGAAATTTCGCCCTCTTGTACTGCCATTTCACACTAGAAAATTGTTGGGTTTCAAGTTAATCTTAAACCCCACGGCCGACGTGGCGTCGAATTCAAGCATAAACTATAAGCCCGGAGAGAGAGATGCCAGTCCTGCTGAGTGGGTGCTGACCCACCCTGACAGGCGGCTTTCCACAGCAAACCCCTCGATCGGCAGTAAGAGCAAGATTGTCTCCGCGATACAAGATTCGACGGCCCTCGTCATCACGATGTACAGCCAGCCTCTCCCCCCGCCCTTTGCTCTGCCTCTGTTGCCGACGGCTCTTGGGCTTCGATACATGCATGGTCAGGCTGAGCCACACAGAGAGACAGGTTGGGGTTGTAATGGCGACTGGGGTGGGGTTTGCTCAGGCTTTAGAAGCTGTCACCGAAGTCCCCAGAGCGAAGTTAACCAATTTAAATAAAGCAGAATTAGGGTTTGCTTGAAGGCTGTCGAAAAATGGGGCCATTGCCCTTGACTTTCGTGCACCAAAAGGGGGGGGGTAGTGCCATGCATTGAATTCACCCATCATCAACTCTCAGGCACATTTCTCCTTCTGATTCGTCTCTTGTACGTTTTTGCCGCCTAATAGTGATGTGGATCCAAATCTCACTGCCTTTTTGACAAATGCTCTGTTGAATGGTGACTATAACACACCAGGGCATTGGTTGAGAAAGTGGGCATGAAGAAATATATATGTTTGTTATTTTTATTTTTATTGTTTTGGTGCTGTACATGAGCATGTTCATAGCAGCAATCTTAAGATTCATGCTGTTGTTACATGGAAATTCACTTTTACTATTGGAGATCCTAGATGGTGTTTTTAAATCTACTTTTTCTCTTCCATTCTGCATGCAAGCACACTGCCACATAACTTTCTTTGCCCCTCATTTCACTTTCCACTTTTAAATGTTTGGTTAAGCTTGTTCCAATTGGTTATTTGCAAAGAGAAAATTTTAAAACATTTTGTGACTGATTTTTTTGCAATACTCAGCAATACTTTACTGAATATAGTCAAACTATGCAACCTTGAATGTGAATCTTAATCTACTTTCATAAAATATTAGCAAGAGAATTCAAGTTGCTCAGAATATATGTATGTATGTATGTATGTATGTATGTATGTGTCTGTATGAATACATAAATTTTACAACTCATTTGTGCTTGACAATTGGTAGTGACATTTCATTAAAACCACAAAATACCAAAATTATCAAAATGTGTGAACTTCACACTCATTCAACATGTGAACCATGTTCAAGAGTTTCCTCAAAAGGTTTGTGTAGTAAACAGAATAAAAATTGGATCAAAATTAACAATGGAGGTTACATGTATTGGCCATTTGAAAGTAAGGGCGGAGTACCAAGCATTCTGTATTAAAATGTACATTATATCCCCCCCCCCAAAAAAATACAATATGTTACATCATTTATGTATTAAATATAACTATTTGGATATTTGTACATGTAGATAAATACTTGTTTATGTAAATCATTCCAGGGTGTACAAGGATACATATATATATATATATATATATAAACATTTACTGTCATTGATTACATATTCATTTTATTTGATAAATGTTTTAATCATCTGTTTTGGGATCTTTCTACAAGGAGATTTTCTTGTTCATTTTTCTAAGCATCTTCAATTTGAATGGTGTTAAACACAGGTATTTTCTAAAATCCTCTGGTATTTGTTATGGATCATTTTTCATTCACATAAAATTAGATTATCAAGTAGTTATTATTGGAATAATTGTGATGATTTACACCATGATTCAGGTGCAATACTTGTTTTGAACCTTTTTTATTTTTTGTTTATTTCCTTAGGTATTATCACAAAACCAGTTTTAGAATACAATTTTATCATTCATTTATAATTAAGGATATGTATAAATTATCAGTATTACATAATGATTAACTGCACAATCTCTTCATTTTTTTTGTAGAAGTTTTTAGATAGCATATATTTTAATGATACTCATTTCATATTTCATGAGAAATCTGAATTTATTATTATTATTAGTATTAGTGTTTATTAAGATATTTATTTATTTTTGGAATCAGAAAAAATAAACACATTCAATATTTGTAGGCATGGATTATTTGCAAAATAGTTAAATTTTTCTCTCCAACACTTCAAAATGATGTTTAACATAAAAACAAATTGATGCTTGTTTTGTGATAAATACACTAAGATTAAAAGCAAATAATGCAGCAGTCCATTCTATAACTTACAAGGATTACAAAGTCATTGAAATGAACACATATACCTTTTTACTTTTGCTATTCTTCTCACATGATATCCAAATAGTTATCTGGATTTTTATTTTTTATTTTTTTTATTTTTTTGTCAACCCCACCAAACGTCTAGAACTATTTTGGAATTTGCAAAAAAACATATACATGCACACATACAAACAAGTCTTTGCTGGTTTGCACAAGGATGTATAATGAAAGGATAGAACCCTTTCATGATTTTTTATGACAGTCAATGATTTTTTTGAATCACTTTGAAACACACTGACACGGACAAGTAAAGACAATGTGTTCATCAGAAGCCAACAATTTCCTCAAAACCCAAGCCCAGAACTTGGTTCCATCACGCTATAAACCAGCTCACAAACCCTAGAAACAGAATTGAAAAAAACACAAATTGAATAAAGAAATAAAATAAAAAACCAACTTTTACAATACCCATAAATGAACACACAGTCAAACAAATTGAGTAAATGAATAAAGTGTGGAGATTTGACATGTTCCATGAGAGATGAGCAAGTGCCAGCCCAAAGCATGGATATGGCCAGGCTGTGAAGCAAAAAGAGAGGGGAAAGAGAGAGGAAAGAGAGAGAGATAGATAGATAGAGAGAGAGAATGAGAGTATAGAGAGAGAAGGGCATATTCCAGGAGGGAGTGGACATGTGTGTGGTCAACTCCATGCATGTTCCAACTCAGATGGTGTGGGTAGTTCCAATGGGAACCAGGGCTGCTCTCTGCTCTGCTCTGGAATCTGCCTTTGGGGCTCCAATAATGTGGGCATGGGATGAGAAGTTTCCAGTCAAAACGTGTGTGTGTGTGTATATATATATATATGGCCCCTTCCTCCTTCCTTGCTGCTGCTTAATTTGGCATGTTGACTCCAAGGGACCTCATTCCCCATGCAACATGTGTCTCCCTCTCTGTCCTGTCCCTTACCCATCCCCAGGTGAACACATAAATTATAACAAAATCAATAACAAATAAACATAGGAAAATGTACTTTTTAACTTTTTCAGAAGTAAAAAGTAAGAGCGAAAAAACACACATGCTAGTTCTAAGCCCAAACATCCAATTGGAAAGACAAGGCAAAGTGACATCCACCAGTTGTGTTTGTGTGCAGGTTTTTTTTTTTTTTGTTTTTATTGTCATGTGTGTTTTAGGGCAACAAGGTGTTTGTGTGTGAGTGAAACAGGCTCTTCCACTGGCTCTGAACCCATGGGTAGAAAACCCAACTGAGGTGAAGAGCCTAAAGAGAGTATTATTAGGGTTCACTTGCTCTGAGTGGATGGGATTTCAACTTCTCATCCCCATCTCATTCATCTGTTCTTACAGTGCTAGTTGCCTAATAATGGCCCCAACAAGTGTATTATTAACATTGTGATGATTTGTTGTTAATATGATGCATCTTCCTTGTTTGTTTATGTTTCTATACCATTTAAAAAAAAAAAAAAATCATTGGATTTGATTTAACGCATATTTTAACTCCAACAGTGTGCTGCACCTCATCGTGTAAAAATAGCAAGGGAGGAGACTGCATAGACCTAAAAGGAACATTGTGGATTGAGAAGAAATAATAACAATAAAAAAAGACCATTTAGAAATGACAAACTGTAAGCATTATAAACGAACACTCTCAACATGTTCAACAGCCCAAAGAGAAGTCGAAGACGAAGTGATGGGATAACATGTAATTTTTCAATACAGTTACGTGATACATAAAAACAATATCTGCGTTATTTTTTTTCTGCCTATGGTAATAAAACCAATAACACCCTCAGATGATGTTAATGATGAGTAGGAAATCTCAGCTTGGGTTGGAAGCCGTCCGTCGTCGTCTGAGAGAGAGAGAGAGAGAGAGAGAGAGTGTGAGAGGGAGTGCGGCGCACTGGCTTTTGGTTTTGGTTATGGTTTAGTATTTGTTTTTGTGTGTTGTAAGTGAGTATTTTTATTATATTGTAATGGTTTTTTTGGGTTTTTCCTCGCTCCCTCCGCTCTCAGCTTCTTCGCCCCTTTCCCGTCACAAGCCTCTCTGTCCTCTCTCTATCTCTCTCGGCTCCTCCTCTCTCTATCTCTCTCGGCTCCTCCGTGCCAGGCAGCGGCACCGCTTCCATCTTCCCATTCCCTTGCTTCCTTCCTCCTTCTTCCTCTTCTTCTTCGTGTGGTGGTCGCGTTTTCGTCTCCCTCCCTGGTACTCACTCTCACTCACTCACTCACTCTCACTCTCTCTTTCTCTCATAAGCGCAGCGCTCTCGCAGAAACAACCACATTATTCGTGTCGTCTTCGTTGCTGCTGCTGCTCAGTTATCCATCGCCTTCTTCTTTTGTCTTTCCGCTTTGCCGGTGATTGATTAGTTCTGCTGCTGCTGCTTCCGCGTCCGCGTTTCTATTTGTGTTCACGTGGATGCCGTTTTCGCGCTCTATCTCTCTCTCTCTCGCGCTCTCGCTCGCTCTTTTCTTCGTTTCATGGATCATCATCTGCTGACGCAGTCACGTTGTTAAGGTAAAGAGCTTTGGAGCGATCTCCCCGCTCGGGTGGTGGTGTTGTTGGGGATGCTGGAGCCGGTCCGTGTTGCCGGGGAGGTCTGTGGAGGGATGTCGAGAGAAATGGCGGAATTGCCCTTGTGCTGGGGAGTCACGCCTCGTACATGGCCGTAAACTGGGGTGGCCCTGTTCATTGTTCACGCTTCTGGGGTTGTGTTTCTTTGTACACTTCCACAGTGACAGGGCAGCACATTTCACACGCAGTTTTGGCTTGAGTATGAACCGAAAGTGGAACGGGACAAAAATGTGGTGTTGAGTGTGAGGTTGGGCTCAAAGTTGCGCTTGTGTAATTGGGGAGTTCAAGGCGTTTGGGAGGCACACGGCACAGTGCACTTGAAAGTTGGGAAAAAAGGAAATGTGAAGCAGCTGTGATTTGAAGAGCAAGCCGCTTCTACGGATATTTCCTCGAATCGTTACATTTTACTGACTGCACGCTTCCTGATAAGGTATGCAAGACCTCCCGGATCTTCTATCAAGGTGAGGGGGAAGAGAGGGGGAGAGTATAAGCGTCGTAGACGCTATAATCGTCTGGGAGGTTTGCTTGCTTTATGTAATTATTGAACTTGGGTATGAGCGGCTGAACAAGCTCAACGCTTATGAAGAAGGTGACTCTGCGATCAACGTTTTCGTAGGCGTGATACCATCTCTTTTGGTGTCAGATAAGTCGCAGCTTCTTTTGTGAGCTTCATGGTAGTAGTATGCAAGTGCTGTGACATTTGTTGCTGTCGCCGCTGCTGCTTCTTCTTCTTCTTCTCGCTACCTCTTTTCTCTTTTCTCCCCTTATTGTTAAAAAATATATTTGTTTTTTTTTCTTCTTTTGAACAATTTGATTTATTTATATTTTACTTTTTTTTTTGCGCATGTTTATATATATTTGGTCCCCCTTTCGTTCTTTCTTCTTACATCGTATGTGCGTGCGTGGAATTGGATGGGTCAAAATGATCGTTTTTTGTTATATGTTCAGATGCTACTAATCCTCGATCGGCTGGATTTGGTGTATCTCGATCGATTGATTTGTAAACTTGTCGTGGAGGCTGTAGAGGAGGGGCCTGAAATGTCTCGAAGTAGAAGTAAATAGTCTGAGAGTGGCGACGTTTTCTTAAGTATGTACCATTATAATGTTTTTTAAGTTACTTTGTAGACTCTTAACCGCGTTTCATTACCGTAGAGAACGTGGGTGTTCGCGATATTGACCGCTTCGGATATTACTGTGAAACTCTCTGTATGATACTGTCGAGTGCTTATTTTCAGAAAATGTGCTTTCTACGTGGGCCGAAATTATTTGCGTCTAATACAAATCTCAGTAGCTATGTTAGGTTCCAGCCTTAGGAATTCTAAGTCCACAAGCTCACATGGTCACATGAGTTGTGCTGATTTTTGTGAGTTAACTTCAATGTCCTGGGATGCTACAGATTCCTGTATCCTCGAAAATAACGTTCATGTTTCTTGACATTTCAGTTAGCTGCTCCTGATAGCCTGGCGAACTTGTCATGAACCTCATTCCCTTTCTGCTTGCTACAACATGAATCTAGTCATGGCAGACAAGGACCAGCCCGTGTTTCGAGACTTTTTAGGTCTTGACCGAATCGATGACATCAACCAAGTGAAATACCTCTCTTCAGAGATGATTCCTGCTTCGAGAATCAGCTCGGGTTTCGAGTCTGAAGGCGACGGTGAGACGAATAACACTCGAGCGTCATCGGGAACAAGCGGTCGGTTCAAATCTAATTCCACTCCCATACACGTCCTCCCTCCGTTTTACTCGACCGTTCCGAGCTCGTCTGATCTTGGTTCAGGTACAGCATGTCTTCACCTTGGATGCCCTCAGCAGGCTTTATTTCGTGCACTTATCTATCTCTTGTACAGTCTGTGGCAGTTTCATTTCACATTGGGTATCTGTTTTAAACGTAGTGCCTTGTGAGCTTCTGCAGGCATTTTCGGCTTGACGTTTTCAAGGATCTTCAATTTGAAATTTTTGTTTGTGGAATATGCATATTTTCCTGTTGTGGAATTCCATCTGTGATTAAGATGGGTATAAGAAGCTGTTTCTTACTCCCCATGCTTATGTTTCTGCAGTCGGCTGGCAGCGAGCCCAAGCAGTACCCCTTCAGTATCATGGCAACAATAGTGCTTTCTCCAAGTTGAAAGCAGATACAAACAAGTTGTCAAGAAAGAGGGACTCACCGACTAATAGAGATTCATTACAAGAGCGCCTTGTTGAAGCATTAGAGAGTTCTCGGCCACAGAAGGTATTTGTCGAACTTGTTTACTTTCTGAGTTCATAGCTTATGCTCTGCTATTAGCGTTTTGAATGTCTCTTTTTCTCACTTTCTTTGTTTGACTTGGTTGTATTCTTTTTCATTCCGTGGTTTTCTTTGTTTGGAGTTCACTTGAGGATGTTTTGCAAATTTGGACAGTCTGTTGATCATTGTTTCGGGTCAAGGTTCAGGCACCTCGGCATGAACACATAAGACAGGAGAAGATCGTCGAGACAAGTGAGGCATCCGGTGACGATCTCCGTCTTTCAATGCAACCTCCTCGAGCATCTAGTAGAAGCCCTCCTTGGTTGCAGCAGAGCACAAAACCTGAAGCTTCTCAACGGCCCGTAAAGAAACATCAACCTTACAGACCCTCACAGATCAATACTGGTGTTGGTATGCGAGGAATTAGTCACCTGGGGGCTTGTGCTGAAAGAGCAGAGAGAACAGATAGGACTCTCGTTGTGCCACCCCGGGAGAACAATGTGGCTGGCAGTTCTCAACTGGATCAACCAGCAGCTGACGAGGGTTCAAGAACAGGACTAAAACATTCGGTTTTAGCAGGACTTCTCGATAACGCTGGGCTTCTTCATCATGACCGAACTGCACCCTATCCTGCGGGATCTAGTGGTTGTCCTCCTCTCGCACCTCAGCATCAAAAGTCACAAAATCAGAATGGAGGTTCAGAGTCTATGATTCCATTGAGGTGAATCACCCAGTCCTAGTCACATTTAAAGTCAGGTTTTTCTCAGAAAACTTCCGTGCTCAGAAGCAAGTGGATGAAAATTTCAATTAACAGAGCAGTTTCTGACTGGAAATTTTATTAGCTAATGTCTTTTGCATATATTTGGGGTATTTTTCATTCTGTGGATTCGGATATCCATGAATGTGCGTGTTTTTCTTAGAGTTTGTTTGTCGGTCGTGAATTTTGACAAATTAGAACAAAAATCAACTTATTTAATGTCGCAGTTTTCATAATGGTTTTGCTCTCTTTTTGCTGTCACTCTTAGTGCGTGTTTATGCTAAGGTGACAATTAGTGTTCTAAGAAATACTGTTTACTTAATTTTTGCAGTCGCCAAGCTCCTTCTACATCAAGTCGACAACTCACCATCTTCTACGGAGGGCAAGCTCATGTTTTTGACGACGTCCCCCCGGATAAGGTGAGGTTATCACGTTCCCGATGGTTTTTTTTTTTTTTTTTTTTTTTTTGCAGTGCAGTTCCAATTCATATTTGTTTAGGCATGCAGATATACTAATGAACTGATGTATTTGAGTAATTAGGATGCGCGTCATTTTGTCGTTGGATTCTTCTTAGCAAGCCAATGAGAAAAACCAGTTGAATGAATGATTTCTTATTTTTCTGTTCTTGGCTGATGCAATTTAGGCGGACGCTATCTTGACTCTGGCGGGCTCAAACGGGAGATCATGGTCGACAACCTGCTCGCCACGACCTGCGGCAAAGCCTACAACTTCCATGAGCGAGGGTTCCATGTCAGCTATAGAGAGGGAGAAAGAACACTCCGTTCAAAGCTTAGGGGGGAGTCTGACTCTTTCATCTGAGGTGCAAACTGTGTTGCGGGGTTTGAAGCAGTCTGGTTCCCTCACAGGCCGATCTGCTTAAGTTTGAATCTTCATTTTGCTGCTGTTAACGCGCGAGCAGGTAATTTTTTTGCTAGTGCTTGAGCAGCATTTTATAGACTCTTTTGCACTGTGTCCTGTATGTCAGTTCAATTAGGGCTAGTGATTGAAGAAGATATGAGTGACAAACGATGAAAGTGGTCTCCTACATATATATATCCAGAAGTCGAGCTGGGTACATGCTGCTGTTTGTAGTGTGGTTATGGTCAACTTCCTCCTAATATTAATGCTGAATGAATGAAGTGCTGCACTATAAAATATTGAAAGAGTAAGTCAACGCTAATCCTTGTCATGGTGCTTCTGTGGTGCAGTGGTGGATCAATCTTCTGTTTAGCCTTCTGGCTCTAATTTAATTGGTGCAGATACAGCGATTTCTAGATTTGTAGGGACGCAGTTGCTTCCTGATTCTTGCAGCCGTTCGATTAGACGGGTTTGGGGACATAACAAACAGCACATTATTTTGGCCCTTTGTGCCTAGTGTCGTTTAATAGTTTTTCCCCCCTGAAACCCAAGTGAGTAACTTGAATTGTGGGGTATGTGAATTAGTAGAACTGAGAATACTCTAGAATTTGTCCAGCTAGAAACTATCGTCATTTCTTGTCACGACTTGCTTCATATGAAGATCAAGTTCATTTCCCTTCTGCAGCAGTTTGGATATCCCGAACTTGAGAGTATGGTGGTGTAGGTAGGAGACATGACTGCACATGACGCTGAAGCTGATGATTCTCCAGCAGGTTCGTGTAAATATTGCTAGTTATATGTCTAGGTGATCGATGTGAAGTTGAACGGTTGAGCTCGTTATTTTTCTTGGAAGCTATTGAAGATGTGCTCTGTGGTGATGATAATTGAATTTTGTACACAAGTGTTCTAGTCCTGCGAAGTATTTTAAATGCAGATGCTTGGTAAAGAATTCCGTTCCAACTTATCTACATGGTATTGCTCAGTCTGGTTGATAGGATTTTTCAGTTTGTGCATCTTAAATGGGTGTAATATCTTTTAGTGAGTTAAATTTTGGAGTTAACTGTCCAAGTTGAAAAGAATTCATCAACGATCCTGACATTGCAACCAAACAGGTTTAGTATGACACACGCACTGTACGCCCTAGACATTGAATTAGGTAACCCCTAGAAATACCCACAATTCCACTTCTTGAATTTGCGAAGTCGCCATTACCAACTCTAGCAGTAGGTGTTATCATCCGAGACTGAAGCAATAGATTGTGAGTCACAGCAACTGGTCAACTGTGGCACTTGTGTTGGGGATTCTAGATTTCAATCCCTGTAATTTTGGAGTTCATACAGATTGTCTACAGGAGTTCTGAAGCGATATAGCGGGAACTTCATACCGCCAGTACTGAGATGGTTCATTGGTCCTTGTACTTTTCATCACATCATTGACCGGCGTTCGTAGTCTCGTCGATACAATGTCTCAGTCAACTCGTGTTCTTGAAGTCGTAAAGTCGACTCGATCTTGCGTGGAAACAATCGGCGAGTCGTTCCGTTGGTCATTTCGATGTCGAAATGTCTTGCAAGTTGCTGCTCCATTATCTCTAAAAATGGTGAATGAGTCGCGCGCATCGAGCATTCCACACAACACACAACGCTGCGACTCAAAACCATCGAAGTTTACGCGTACGCTACTGTCAAGAAGGTGGTGTGAATTTCGAGGATGGGGGTCCTATGTGGCGTAATCGAGACTATCACCAGATTAATTAATAAGTTGTGCAGAATCCTACTACGAGGCAAGAAGAACCGCCTTCTGGGTGGAGGATGGAATGGGGCAGGTGCTGCTTTCTGCGTCAATCATGGGAAGTTCGAAGATCGAGGAGCTGGAACGAACTTGACTTCGATGGCCCCTGTAGCTCACCAGTGGTAAAGGGCTTGCTCCCGAGAACGGCATTTGGGCCCATTTCTTGGAACTTTAAGATTTGACGTAGAATTCTCAGGACCAAGGCTAGTGAAGAACTGTGCTCATGAGCAAAGCAACGTGACACCTAATAGAGAATCTAACTGTTTTGACCATGCGGCAATCCTCCCAAACGAGACCTACATACATCGCAGACACTGCTACTGTTGTGAATTCGCGCTCACAGGGGGTTTCAGACATAGTACAAGGGCTGTCGGTACACGAGTGTTTCGCAACGCCTTCTTCCCCTACCCTACTCTGATGTCCTCGCATGGATGGGCAGGGAAACTTTGCGGAACTTGCGTTGTCTGTAATTGTTGAACGCGTCCACTTTTGCAGTTTAGTTTATGGAGAGAGGTGCTGTTGTTGAAGGGACGTTGATGTGAGGAACGAGGGCGAAGTGTGAGAGAGAGAAAGAGAGAGAGAGAGAGATTTTGAGGGGAGCAAGAGGTTACTCAGAGGACGAATTCTAGTGTGAGGGAGGGTGGGGAGCGAGTGGGCTTGTGCGAAACGGTGGTAAAGCGTGGGGGCAACCGCGTCGAAGGGGCAGTCTCACAGTTAGAGAGCAAATCACTAGCCATTACTTGATTTCTTACCTCACGCTTGTGGCGATCGTCTTCAACGTTTGATGTGAGTAAGTCGTATCTTGCTTTACTCATAACACCAGACTTGTCGCTAACCTTTGCTTAATTTTGTAGATGAGCGGTCACTCTGCTTTATCTTTTATACTCAAACTAAACGCAATGTCTGAATGTCTTTTTACCAATAATGCTTTTGACTTAATGCGCAAAATCAATACTCCGTAGTAGCGTCGTTGCAGTTCGACCACGGGGCGATGCGTATCCTTTCAAAGAGGAAAAAGCAATTTCCGGTGAGAATTCGTATGTCGTGGCTTGTGCGCAGGAGGGGCAAGGGAAGAGAGATGGAAGTGCCCAATAGTTCCCCGGAGAATACTGGAAGAGAGACTCAAGAGATGACGAGGTCTTCGAGTTGGCGACCAAATGCGTCGACGGTGATTCGAAAGAGAATCCTTGTGGGATGCTTGGGGATTGTTTTAGCATTCGTTTGGTTGAGCATCAAGCAAACAGTGCTCCCGATTCAGTGGCAACCTTCATCGTCAGGAGGTGATATGGGTCCGCTGTGCTGGCCGAAAGTACGTGCGTATCTGTTTCTGATCACGGAACTCAGCGTGCTTTTTACGGTTACGCTGTTCCTGTTTATGGTCCCTGGTTTGATTATTGTATGGAGCATGGCCACTGTGGGATATTACATTTGGTATTCTTTTCGATTTGGTCAAGAAAGAAAAACAGCTGGGCAGAAGAAGTTTTTTAAAAAATCCGCTGATTCGGCCAAGGAAATGGTGATGACCACAATTCAGAGTGCAGTGCGTGAAGGGAAGACGTTTGGAGTTTCAGTTCTTCTTGCACTGTTTCTTCTGGCATGGGTGCTCGGCAAGTATAATATCTTCGCAGGGCGGTCGTGCAACTGAACCGAGTTGAACACATATATGTTTCTCTTTGCAGGAACGGGCCTGTGAGTTTTGAGTATCATTTGATGTGAGAAACCGAGTGTGGTGGTGGCTCTGGAAGTCACATGAAAAGAGGCTTTTCTTCAAACCGCAGGAGCCGGAGCAGCTATACGATCACAGCTTCCCCTGCTGTGTTTATACGATTTTGTTAGTACTTCCGTCCAACTCTGAGAATATAGAGGTGGGGGGAGAACGCAGGCTTGAGGGATCATAATGAGAAATTTGTAGTTGTTAGAACAGTAATACATTATTAGGTAGAAGGAAGAGTTTTAGGATTGGTAGGATCGGAACCTGGGCCATTTCTAAAATTGTCACAGACACTTGATTCATGAAGCCACAACCTATGTTTTATCCTGATGAGCTCAGCTCGGATACGGTGAAATCATGCTCTGCCCTTAAGAAGACTGTTGTTTCACAGGTTTTTTCCAATGCACGAAGCCCATCAACTTAATGAATTCCAATGCATACACCTTGAATAGGTCAATACAGGCGTCAATCCAGCACAGAACAATATCACACCGACCAATGACACATTTTAACAGTCAATGCCAATTTGCTAATTCTAGGTTTACCGTCAAGCAGTCACCGTCCAACCCGACTTAAAAATTGTAGACATGACAATGCATTCTTCACCGCCAGCCTTATTCAGAACTCATTAATCAAATCGTAGCAGCAGCAGCAACAACATTAACGAAACGTCTGTAGGTTGTGTAGGATTTAAGAGTCTTCAAGAGCTGGGTCGTGTTCGTGCGGCCTCGGCCTCACAGAATCACCTCCGCAGAGTCAGTTTCGACCTGCCTTCATTTGGCGACGTCATTCAGTTATTATACCAATTAATTTTGGGTCCTCATGCCTGGAGGTGCTGGACTACAAGATTCTCGCCTGCTAAATTGAGTATTTCGCGGGAAGTGCAGCTGTTGTGTAATTGGAATCGGTGCTGGTGCTGTGTTTTAGTTCCTGTCGAATTGGTGTTTTGGGATTTTAAGAGGCGAGTGAGAGGGTAAGTGCGAGATGTCGAAGGATTCCTTGTTCGGAGGTTTGCCACCTCCTGTGACATCGCAACCTTTACCGCCCAGATCCGCGACGGGAGCTGGGAGAGGAGAGGCGGCTTCCTCTATACCTTCCATACTTTCTTCATCTGCTGCATCGAAGCGCTCTGTTGCGGACGACGATAGTCATGGTAGGGTTTTCGAAGCTGGTCTTGCTCTGGGGTCTGAGGTTTTCTGGTTTGATCATTGTGAATAGGGGTAAACAGCTTGCACAATTGCTACAGCTTTGCTTAGCTTTACGGCCCTTGATCTCGGAGAGGTAGGCTTGGATTATTAGTTTTCGATTGACCTGGATGTGTTGCAAATTGCTGTGCTTCAATCCCTGCGTCTTGGTTGCCATGGCGTAGGATTCTTCAGCCCCTTCGAATCTATGTTGGCGCTTCTTAGACTTATTATTCTCAGTTAGCCGTCTCGTTGGACAGTTCTGTGGACAATTGAAGTGGTTTTGGTTTTCTTTCAATTTTTGAAATCAAGGGGCTGCTTGTTTGTCCCACATGGTTCTTGTGTCAGTTTTCATTTTTCATTGTTCACAAATCGATTGCCAACGTCCGTGTTCGTTTATTTGCTAGCAGGCAAGCGAGTTAGGTTTAAACCAACCACAACGGAAGCGACCAGTGAGCAGGTTTTAGAGGCCATGGCCAAAATTGCTTCACACATTGGTAACCCTGGGAAATTTCCGAAAGCCTCGAAATTAGCGTTGCAATTACTGGAAAGCGGAAGTGTTACTCCTGCCACTGCTGATGCTTTCTTCTCCATTTTAAAAGCTGCAATGGCGAGACCTTCCAACGCGGTTGAAGCGTCCTTAAGAAGGGATTACCAAGCTTTGTTTGTAGCAGTTCATGACAGGCTCGAGGTATTTTCCGGCTAGAAATTCGTCTGAAATTCTGGGTACTCAACTTTGCATATTTAGTGGATAAGCTTGTGTGACCGTATCATGGTGGTCGCATTAAGTTTCTGATTGTCACAGTCAACCCTTCCTTCTTCTGGAAAATGTTTGTTCTTAAGCAATGAGCCATTCATCTTCTTACCAGTTACCGTGGTGAAGAATTCGATTGCTTGAATAGAGATGCCCAATGCTTTAGTTACATCATCCTGCAAACTTAAGAGGGGTTCACACCTCAGCTCTACCTATTGCAAGAACACAGTAGCTATGTTGCCAACCTGATCTAACTTGAAGACCGAGGAAATAGTGTACTGTTGAACTCACGAAAATACGCTATTTTAGGTCGAAATCAAGTCAAGATCTTTTAGGGCTAAGCCAATATGCACTGCTCAAGCCCTGATGTACGTGTTCTAAGGCAAGTATCATTGCCCAAAGTGTATAGATCCTCATTAGGGAAGATAGTCTTGTGGTGTAGCTACCTCTGTTGGTGGGTTTCAAGTGTTCTGCCTAGGTTTCTGTGAGACAAAGTTGTGCTTGAATTCTTATCAGTACGACATCCTCACCACTATTTTATACATAGTATTTCGATCTTAGCTGTATCAAAAATTGTGGTACTAATTGAATGCTCCAATTGACAGTAAGCATACACTAAAATGTTACGGAAGTAAAATAATTCTGAAGGCTTTGTATCAAAGGCTTAACTTCATTCTTTTGAGCTCGAAAGTTTGGGCTAGAACTTGTTCTAACTGGTGTCGTCTTCATTGCAGTGTTTTACTGGAGCACAGCAAGCTCAGATTTCAGTCTGGGAATTTTGGGCACTTGTAGGCAACGACTTCGTGATGGATGATACATTTGTGGTATGTCTCAAAATTCTATGCCGTTGGTGCCAATTTCAATTACACCGGCAGTTTATGTCTGGTCTTTGGTTGTTTAGTTGATTTTTAATGAGTTTTGAAACATGTATAGCATGGAATTAAAACCTCTTGCAGCTGTGTGAATTGAACAAATAAGGGCTGCAGCAATATGTATGCATCGGCCGTTTCTGCTTATTTGTGTGTCTATTTACTATGTTTCAAAGTTTTGCAGCGTCCTAAACTATCGTAACCTTTATGTGTAACTTCATGGCAACTGCAGTTTTCAAAAGCTTCAGGGCGTGTAAGGCAAGCTATTGATGAATTGCCAGAGGCCACTGACGAAGCTAATATTGTAGAAGAAAGAGAGGAGAAAACTAAAGATGAACCAATTGAACAAGGACAATCAGAGAAGGCTGTAGAAGATGCTGCAGAAAGTGATCCCTTTGGTTTAAACGCATTTTTACCGAAGCGATCTAAGAAGGAGGAGCGATTGAAGAGAAAATTAGAAGAGGAAGCCGCCTCAAAAAGAGCTCAAGAGGAAGCAGGGAAACTACTGAGGGAGCGCCGAGAAGCACTTCTGCAGTGTCTAAAAATTGCAGCGGAATATTACAGACTGACTTGGTAAGATCAGCGCTCGTCTTGATTCGACCATGATGGATGTTGGTACTGTGCAAGAAACTGTGTTTGTTATTGAAATTGCGCATACATGATTCTAGGAGCTTGTACCGTAGGGGTGGGGTCGTGCATGCATCTCTTCAACGCTCGAGCTGGAAAACTGTCTTAACTTTTACAAGAAATTTTGATATGTTGAATAATGTTTTGTTGTGCAGGGCACAAACTATTATTGACATACTGGTGAGACATGCCTTTGACAATCGTGCAAAATTCAGTGCTGTGCATCAAGGTGCCATTGAGAAACTATGGGCATCTGTGCGTGATCAACAAGTACGGCGCAAGCAAGGCAAGTCCACGACTGGCAAGCTGGATGTAACCTCATTCGAACGTTTCCAAGAGCAGTATTCTCGTGAAACCATTAGTATCCGTCGTGCAGTTGGCCACGGCGGTGGCCGCTCTGCTGAGCAATGGCTGGGATAGGCAATAGCAATTGAGAAGAATACTTGTACTGGAGAAGCTAGACATTGATGCCCTAACATGTGCGAGCAATATTGCAGCAAACTCTGTTGTGGTGTGGATTATTGTGCTGAGCCATTAGTTGGTGGCAAATGAATTCTTTGCAACATGTGGCTTTATGGCTCTGTACTAACTGACATTCATTGAAACGGTAACTATTACAGCACCCCAGGTGATTGATTATCCATGCATTTGCCAACAAATGATGGGATTGTGAACAGAAAATGTTTTTAAATTGACCAAATTGAACTGACAATATGCAGAGAGAGAGAGAGCGAGAGAAAATAAAAAATAAAAATAAAAAATCTATGCGATGGAAGGGGTGAAATTGATGTAGATTACAATGTCTAGCATATTTTGGGATGTTCCGTTGATGAGCTATGGTGCAAAGACTGACTCGGTCACAAAGGGATGCCTGGACCAGGAAAGTTGGAGACTCCTCCAGGAACGCCTCCAGGCGTGGGAGGGCCAGGGGGGTTTGCCGGGGCCGGGGCTAGTGTCTGGTGAAGGAGCAGGCATGTTCCCTGGAAACAGGGGAGGAGCTGGTCCAGGAACTCCTGATGGTCCGGGTGATGGCGTCTGCGGAGGAGTCACGGGTGGTGGCAAGGGCGCTTCACCCGGCGGCCTGATTTGCACGTTAGGGATGGGGATGGAGGGCGCTGCATCAGGTGGTAGCTTTGGCATTGACTGTGGAGGAGGAGTTGGCATGGGCACACCAGGTGGTGGTATAAGATAGGAATTTGGAGGCTGGATGGGTGGGCCTCGAGGAACTTCATCGCCGATGGCGAACATCATCATCGTTATTATGGGGCTGAACTCGGGTGGTGCTTTCGACGGAGAAGAAGACTTTGAGAATGACGGTGAAATGCCAGATGAAGAAGGAGATGGCAGCTCCTCTGGGTCCGGTGACTGCAAGTCGATGGAAGGGATTATGTCGGAGTTGAGATGGAGCTGTGATCTGACGACCGAGGACACTTGCCTCATGTCGGTATAGATCAATGCCGAGGGGAATTGTGCAGATGAAACATTGTCGGGGACGACAAAATGTTGGAAGTCGTACGAGCAGACCGACTTTGGCAAGGTCGTGATTGAGGATGTTCGTGGCTCACAGGACCTAATAGCCACAACCGGATCGCTTGACATAATTTCACATGTTCTTGAGCCAACCCTGTTCTTGCGAAAGTTCTGTCCTGATTTTGAAGCTGCGGTGGCAGACTTCTCTGCCGTATTGTATTCAGAATACGGTGCTGGTAGCTGCTTCCACGAAATTGACTGGGTGGAGCATACTCTGTTAAATGCCAACGTTTCAATCCCGTCAATTCTACGATCCAAACTCAGGGAAAGCACGAGGCCCCCGAATACCAGTCATGGCAAAATTTTACTTAATGGCATGTAGCGTGGAAGTGATGTGACAAACTCTGAAGACAACAGGAACAGTACTGAAAATAATCCACCCGAGTTTTCCTTCTGGTATCGTTGAAGAAAAAGGAGGAAGCGTTCAATTCTCACCTAGTCAATACCTACAGCCCCACAACTCGCGCTGAACACTCTTGCTCATGTACCATGAGATCAAAAAAACTCCCCACAGGAAAGAAAAATAAACACACGAATCCTCGAATCGCTTCTACTGTGAGCACTACTTCGACATCCAGTGTTTCCCCTCGACTTCGACAGCTCGCTACTCAGGTTCGTCACTAATTGCACTATCAGACAAACGATGCCGCCATTGCTACTACGTCTCAGTTCTCCGAACAGTGTTTATGGATCCAGGTGACGTTGCAATGCAGGAAGAGTGAGGAAGAGGGGCATACCTGAGAGATGCCATGGCTCAATCAAAAGCAGCAGGGTGGGTTTATGGGGTCTTTGAGAGAGCTGGGTTGTTGTGTGATCAAGTCTGATGAAGATTGAAGGAGTGGAACTGAAGTGGCATCAGCTGCATTTGGTGGAGTCGTAGAATGTGAGTGCGAAGCAGCACGAGTTCATATGGACCCTGGAAATGAAAAGGAAGGTGGGTACATGACAAGTGGCAGTAGCATTCTCTGCCCATGTGGCGCTTGCTTTTAGAGTTTTGCATTCTGTACATTAGTAGGTGTTGATGGAGGGTCATGAGAGCAGAGGATGGAATTTCTTTTTCATATATATATATATATATATATGAAAACACCCAGGCTTTTCTTACTAAATTGACCACCTATTCTAACCATCACAACAATAATAAATATATATATATATATATATATGTGACTTCTAGATTCATTTCTCCACTACTAGATCCAAAACCAAAACCAATGAAAACCAACCACATTCATCATGATTACCATATTCTTCATCATGGGTAGGTTGATTTAATAAAAATCTGGGTCTATTTTACATTCCCCTGTTTATATTTATACACACATACATACATATATATATATATATATATATATGTATGTATGTATTTTTTTTCCAATTCTTTTTTAGTAACTTGAATTTTGATTGGTTTTTATTTTTATTTTTTATAGCCTATGGTTTTTTGAAATTAAGGATAAAAAAAGGGGTCAATTCATTGCCTTGGCAATAGCCTTTTTACAAAAATAAGAAACTCTAAAACTTTTCTCCTAGTAAGAGAAGAAGTTGCACTCTTTGTTAATTGCTCACATAATATGTCCATTTCATGTGCAACATTTTGCAAACAATTTTTGGATCTATTGTTTTTATGATGCATTTTATTAGTAGTAGAGAAGGCTATTTGTAAAGTTGATTCAATTGAATAATGTATAATTTGTCTAATTATTGCTATATGAAAGAAGCATATAATATTTTATTTTGTTTAGAAAGTAAGTTGATTTGAAGTAATCATGGATTTTAGTAAAATTTTCTTATTCATAAAAACCTATCTAAATTTAGATTTTTACATTTTGTATAATTTCAATTTTTTATAAATTTTATTTGATTATTATTATTATAATCAACTTGTGAAACTAAAAAGTATTAGTTAGGTCTATAAACTTGCAAGTTCAAGAAGATCTTATACAAATTTTATATATTTTTAAACCATTGATAAATTAAATTATGATATTTTTAATTATTTTTTGTTTTGTAAATTTAAAAGTAAAATAATGACACATCTTTTTTTTTTTTTTTTTTATTTTTTTTTTTTTTTATTTTAAGATGTTTTTAATTGAAAAATCTTATTTGAAGAGAGAATATTTAAATAAGAATACAATACAAAAATAAGTAAAAGATATTATATAGTAATAATATGATCTTAATTTTATTTATTTATTTATTTTTTACATTCAAGCATTGTGAGTTATGGATTGTCTTTAGTATTCTTAAAATTAGGATTGTTATGTATGTTTTTTTGCATGTTATTTTTATAATGCGGAATAATCTATTGTAAAAGATTTGAATACTTTAAATATGATTATATATAATTATATATCTATATATAGAGATATATCTATATTTCTATATATATATATATATGTATACAAATAAGTTTTACATTAAATAGATTTAGGATCTAGTACTATATGACCAAGTATACATAATAATAACAAAGTTTGATGCTAAAAGATATCCAGGTCAATTTCATTATACAAGTTTTGTTTTGTTTTGTTTTGTTTTTTGTTTTTTTTTTTTGTTTTTATTTATTTTTATTTTTTTTGGCAAATTGCATAATGAAGTAGAAAAAAGAGACACTTCTGTTAGATTTTAAAATTTTGTTAGACCTATTTAAATTGATCTTAAATTTTAATTGCATTTGCATCATATCAAAGAAAAAAGTTATACTAATTAGTTTTGATTTAGATAGCTATTGCCTTCTAAGTACATTATTTTAGATTTTTTGAGTAGATAATTTTAATAGAGGAATTCACCATTATTAGAATATTGTATAATATTTTTATTAGTTAAAAGTGAAAATAATTTTTAATAATGATAATAATAATATATTATTTATTTTTATTTTGAAGAGTTATTACAAAAGTTCACTTAGTGCTTCATCTTAGTAGCATTAGTAGTAACATAATCTATTATATAAACCTTATTGTTGGTGTAATTCCATAAAATATAAGATCTTTATAACAAAATTATTAAAAGAACAAATATAATCTTCTTCTGGGTCCTTATTATAGATTGCCATGTATATATTTCAATATAAAAGCATTAGGAAATTGATTCTATAATAAGATTTTTTTAATATAAATAAGTAATAAAGAATTACATTTCTTTTTGTTAAAGACATAAATGTACACAAACTTTCTAAAAAGAAAAAAAAGAAAAAATATACTTAATTAAGAATAAAGAAAATATATATATATATATATATATATATATGTAATTAAAAATTAAAATAGCTATTTCAAAGTATAAAAGATCTAAAATACTAGTGAATAAAACATTATCAATAAGATTGGAGATGGCTTAAAACTTTCTTAAATATATATTAGTTAACAATAAGATTATGTAGGATATTTGTAAAGACCACAAGTCTTATACATCTAATATACAAATTATAAGATGTTTATACAATATCTTTTTAAGCAGTAAAAAACTTCTAAAAGAACTTGTAACAATTACATGACTTATTAGAAGTATATATATATAAAATTGAAACAATTTTTTTTTTTCTTCCTTGAATGAGAAAGGAAGAGAGGTGGATGGAGGCTAGATTTTTAGCCTCCCCTCCCTTTTATGGAGGTATTAGGGAATGCCCTTGTAGATTGGTATAGATACAATATAGAGTCCTTTTAAGGCAGTTGCTAAGGTTAGCAATAGGATTTTTATTTAAACATGATAAGGAAGTTATACCATACAACATGTATTCTTTGTGGTGGATGGGATTTCTTTTTTGTTTTCAAAACTGCATTGTTGTTAGTTTGATATATGTGCATTTGTAACAAGTTTCAATACCAAGTTGTCTTAGAAGATGATGCAATTTAAAATATGTAAAATAATGTTTCTAGAAATTTGTAAAAATACCATTTAATAAAAAGGTGGTTAAAAAGTCTTTATACTGATAATGATATCTTATATATAGACAATATGATTCTTTAGTTATTTGATAATTATTTAATCTTTCATAAAAATCTTCAAATAATATATTTAAAATGTAATTAAGTATAGTATTAATCATTAACAATATTAAGATTTCTATTTGTAATTGTGGTACCAAATACATTGGTACTTATTATTTGTTTAAATAAAAAAAAAACATCTTTGTTAAAGCTATTTATATTTATTTGGAATTTGTGGATGTAGTCACAATCTATTCAATTTATTTAGGAATTTTACAAATAATAGTTATTGAAATAAATTTATTAGCTAAAAGTTCTTTATTGATATTAAAAACTTGTCATTATTTAATATTAGATATAAACTACTAAACCTAATTATCAATGTTATTATTTTTACTTTTATTTAAGATATTTTAATAGTATTATTAAAAATTATTTAATAACTTAAACAAATCATATTAATAAAAAAATATATATATTTTCAAGATTCTTATAAATTTTTAATTTATTTCTATTGATGAAGTGTTTTTTTAAGTTTTAAAAAATATTTGAATATTTTTAACACCACTTCATTTCCAAAACTCCTTTAATATGAAAATCTTAATTATCATCTATTTTATGAATATGTAATTTTTGAAAATGAGATTCTTTATGTATGTATATGAATATATATATATATATATATATATATATATATATTTACATGGTGATATATATTTATTGAATCAATAATATTTTTATATCAACTATATCTTTAAACCAACTTTAAATTAGACGGTTCTAGAGACTTGTTTCTAGATGGTTCTAGAAACTTGTCTCTAGAAGGTTCTAAGGACTATGTCCCTAACATCACCCCCTCCTTTAGCTTCAAGGTCTTTGAGAAGCAATGTTATTGTTAATCAGTACCAATGCAAGAAAATGAAGATGTGTCGCATAACGTTTGCTATGAATTCCAACTATTGTTCACGAGGCAAGTGGTTCATCGGTCCTTGAAGCCAACGGTAGTGGCCCATGCCTTCGACTTCTGACCAAGCATGAACTTTCGTGTCCTCATTGTGAAATTGTCTTGCAAACACGTCTTCAGGCTGACCATCGTAAGCAGGCTTGATCTCAAATACAATCACCAGTGATCGGTTACTTGGTATCTTCTGTCGTCGTCGTGGTGTAGGCAGTTCTTCATCTCGGGGTCGCCTTCGTGAGCTAGTCGGTTGACATAATCTGATTGGCATAGTATCTATCTCTTAGCTATCCATATCAGAAGACCAAACTATGGCTTCTGAAAAAATTCTACTTTATCTTGGAGAAAATAATTACATCAATTACGAATTTTGGTGGTACTGTCATCCTTTCTTATATTCTTGGGTGAGCAAGCTTCAGAAGGAAGCTATCGTCGAACCGGCTTAGGTTTATGAGGATGTTGTTAATGAAACTCCTGTACCTTTTGTGATGCATTGGTGAGATTTTCAATTGGCTCCCACGTTCGTTCATTAATGTCATAGCTGCACCAATGAACAAGATACTCCAACTTGCCCCACCTTCATCGTGAATCCAATACCTTTTTGACCTTGTATTTCTCATGGTTCTCGATCTCAATACTAGGTGGCGGACATTGCACTCTTCCAGGAAAAGATGACTCTCGATAAGGCTCCAACAAAGAAATATGAAAGACTAGATGTACCTTCATAGAAGCTGGTAATTCCAGATGATACGCCATTGGATTGATTTGCTTCTAGATGATAAATGGTTCCAATCTTCGATAGTCTAACTTATCACATAGTCGCTTGGTCTTGATATTTCATCAAAGAAGCCATGCTTTATCTCCAATTTTGAAAGTAGGTGCTTGATTCTGAAATCTATCTACAGACGCCTTGTAGGATTCTTGAGCGGATTGTAATTGAAGCTTCAATGTAGTTTGAAGCTTTGATAGTTGCTTCGCAAATCCTTCAACTACTAGATTGTTATTTGTTGACGGACTCAATAAATCAAGCTTCGGATGATACCCATAGTTGAAAAAGAATGGTGTGTATGGAGTCGACGCATGGAGGATGTTGTTATATGCAAACTCGACTAGCGGAAGATATGCGGTCCAATAGTCTTGCTGATAATTGATGTTGCATCGTAAGTATTGTTCCAAGAGTTGGTTCACTCATTCTGTTTGGTCGTTAGTTTGAGGATGAAAAGTCGTAGAAAGCTTGATATCCACCTTCAATATCTCAAAGAGAGATCTCCAAAACTTTGACACAAACTGGGTTCCTCGATCTGATACGATATTATCTGGTAGTCCATGATATCGATACACATTATCAAGAAA